AAAAAAGAAGACACATTTTGTAAATTAATAAGCAATAGATTCTCTTAGATCGTTTGCGGCAAATGTACAGAAGCGGCAATCGCGACAACAAAAAGTAACAGACACGACTGTTTGAGGGCAATAAACAATAAATATGATAGGTAAAGTCAGCTGGGATTGTTGGGTGTGGAAATATCACAATGAAAGAGATATTGTTTGTAAATGGAAGGAAGTGTACTAATGACCTTTATTTTCTTAATTCCCTAATTATCATTAGAAGATTTGCAATTGCCAGTTTTGTCCAAATGGAAGTGCCGGTTTGCGAACAATCACTTCTTTGGTGTCGGCGTTGTATTTGAAGGCGATTTGAGTGGCCTTTGACGGATCGGCTCCTAGCTGGGCGACGACGCGGTTTGGCTTTGAGGGATAGCCGTAGATGACCACACGCTCCAGCCAAGCTGCATTCGCATCAGGGGTGCCCTTTTGAAATTCGTAGCTGAGTGTTTGCTTAGAAAAGTTGAAACTGCCAGAAAGAAAAGCGCTCTTTGTGCGGTAGTCATAGGACTGGCCGTCATCGAGGTACAGCGAACCGGTGGCTTCTCCCTTTGAATTCAGGAAAATCTGGAGTGTAATAGGGTCATTCACAGCCAGAACAGCCGCTCTTCGCATGCGTTCTCTGTAAAAGAAAATATTTTATAATTGGTGAATGCAATAAATAAATGTATATTACCTCTTAGGAATGATGGATCCACTTCTCTGGAAGATGGGCAGAGACTTTATGTCGACATCAAACTGATAGCTATGGCCACCGTTAAACACTTGGTGTGTCCATACATTGAGCCAAGAAGTAGGGTCTCGAGAATCAGTGGGCAAGTACACGTCAAGGGTCTTTAGCTCTTTATCCAACACGGGCGCCACCAGCAAGTCCGATCCCAATAGATAGGTGGTGTCAATGGACAAAGCCTGGCTGTCAGTCGGGAATTGCATCCATAGTGGTCGCATCGGCGGCATTCCAGTGAATTCGTTTTCATGGAACAGAGTGTACATGTATGGCAGGTAGGAGTAACGGGTTCGGATGACTAAGGAGAATAACTATAATTAAAACTGTATGAAATATCAAATCCATTGATGTTTACCATCTCTGATAGTGTTGCGGGCAAATTCAGAAAACAGCCAGGG